GGGAAAAGGAAGGGAATAAGGGCTAGTATTTACCAGTTGTGGGATTTTCCAGAGTGACTTAGTTCAGCGTTGGGAGTCACAGATGGGCTAGGATGGAGATAACCTACCCTGGTCCCCCGTCCCCAATACCGCCACCTCCCTGTCCTCTGTCCCTGTTCCCCTTCATTCTCCATCATTAAACTTAGCTTAGCAGCCTGGGTACCACCCTCACAGTGGGGCCCAGCCAGGGCAGAGGAGGAGCATGGTGTCTATGTGTATGACCTGATGGCTACTGTGGTACACATCCTGGACTCACGCACAGGGAGCAGCCTGGTAGCTCACATCAAAGTCGGAGAGACCTATCACCAACGCAAGGAGGTAAGTGAGGTAAGGGCAGGGATACTCCTGGGGATGGCCACAGTGGAGTCTTGGGTCTGTCCTTGAGTCTGAGACAGAGGGGTCCAGCCATCACTTTTGTATCAGTCTTTCTCTGTATCTCTACAGGGCGTTACTCACCAGCAGTGGTATCTCTTCAATGACTTTCTTATTGAACCTATTGATAAGGTTAGTTGCAACATGTTGCATTTCCCCTTTCATCTCCCCTTTCCTAGCATCCTCATTCTCAGGGCCTTAGAGAGTGCCAGGCAGATTCAAGAAGGAAAGTGGGAGGGATCCTCAAGAATGAAAAGCATTGGCTGGCTGGTTAGCTCAGTTGGTTAGAGCACAGTGTTGCAACACCAGGGTCAAGGGTTCGAATCCCCATACTGGCCAGCCACCAAAAAAAAAAAAGAAGAAAAAGCATTAGTAGAATTAAAAATAGCACCTGAGACCTGGCCTTTGTTTGATTTGGGGAAAAGGAAAAAGGGGCATATACATGGGCCATAAGTGCTTTTTCTCTTCTAAAGCATGAAGCTGTCCAGTTTGACATGAATTGGAAAGTACCTGCTATCCTTTATTACGTCAAAAGGAATCTTAATTCCAGATACAACCTGAACAGTAAGTGGTACATAGTAGACCCAAGGGTATGGGCAGTTTAGATTGGGCTTCAGGAAGAGATCTGGGACCATAGCTTATAAGTATTTAGGATTGGTAGGGCCAGCCCATGGCTCACTTGGGAGAGTGTGGTGCTGATGGGTTCGGATCCCTATACAGGAATGGCCAGTTAGCTGACTTGGGAGAGCGTGGTGCTGACAACACCAGGTCAAGGGTTAAGATCCCCTTACCGGTCATCTTTAAAAAAAAAAGGATGGGTAACGAGTGTTAATATTTCCAGGGATACTAAAGAGAATCCTGCTTATCAGCCATTAAATCTAGAAGCAGGAAATCCTGAAGGTGGTGTGGGGAAGGGGTGAGGGTGGAATTGCGATCAAAATGGCTTTGGTCATGATTTTGAGTCTAACCATTCTGATCCCTAAGTGAAGATCTCTTCTTTTGGAATTGAATTCTTTATTAAGTCCCTGTTTGTTACCTTTAAACCATAGTTTCTCTGTTAACCTTATTTTTCTGTATTTTCTAAACAAATGTCCAAAGTGAAAATCTTACTTTCTTCTCTGTCATCTTTCTAGTTTTTTTCTTAGCATACTTCTTGATAATTTTCTGGTTTTAACTGCTCTATCTACCAGCTCCTTTCATCAGACATATTTTTACTCACATGCTTTGATTATTGAGGGATCACAGTTGAGGGATCACAGTGTAGGCTCAGAGTCTCTGATCAGCCACCCTGGGCTTCTCTCCCCTAGTCACTTCCTTATCCCCAGACCTCTGTCCTCTGCCTTCTCCCTTTCAGTCAAGAACCCTATTGAGGCAAGTGTCCTGCTGGCTGAAGCCTCATTGGCACGGAAGCAGCGGAAAACACATACTACCTTTATTCCACTGATGCTGAATGAGATGCCACAGGTTGGGGACCTGGTGGGCCTGGATGCTGAGTTTGTCACCCTTAATGAGGTAACCAGACCAAAAGGATGGAGCATGGGAACAGAACTCTGAGGATATTAGGAGTTTTAAGCATTTCTCTGATTTCCTAATTAACTTTTCTCATGTAGGAGGAAGCAGAATTACGCAGTGATGGTACCAAGTCTACCATTAAACCAAGCCAGATGTCAGTAGCAAGGATTACTTGTGTTCGAGGCCAGGGACCCAATGAGGGTATCCCCTTCATTGATGACTACATCTCTACCCAGGAGCAGGTATTAGGATATGGAGATAGAAGTGAGGCAGACCGTGTGCTTGAGAACCCCAGGAAGAATGGTAGGGGGGTACTCAGCATCTCACTTCCTGAGTGACTTGTCCTTTTCCTAGGTGGTGGACTACTTGACTCAGTACTCAGGGATAAAGCCTGGAGACCTTGATGCCAAAATTTCCTCCAAGCACCTCACAACTCTCAAATCTACCTACTTAAAGCTTCGTTTTCTCATTGACATTGGAGTCAAGTTTGTGGGTCATGGCCTGCAGAAGGACTTCCGGGTCATCAACCTCATGGTTTGTGCAGGGCTCTTTTAAGGGTCTTCTTTTGAGGGTGGGCCACTCAGGGTATACATTGTGCTTTTGGAGAATGGGAAGTTATGGATCCCCTACCTTAAGCCTCCCACTCTTTTATTCCTGCAAGGTGCCCAAGGACCAAGTCCTTGACACTGTCTACCTATTCCACATGCCCCGAAAACGAATGATTTCCTTGCGATTCCTTGCTTGGTACTTTCTGGGTGAGTTGCTCTGCCTTGTTGGCCGCTATGGTACTCATTAAGAACAGGAAAAGTATTGGAGAACCAAGGGGGAATAAAGAGGACTCTGAGTTAGTGGTGAGAGTTACTAATGGATTTAATTAGCTTCAGTATCCCTCTGTGTTCTAGGGAAGATGTTTGACTCTTTCCCTTACAGGCAGCCAGCGGGGGAAAAAAAGAGCAGACAGGTTTTTTATTATTGTTTTCTGGAAGTCAGGGTGGGAGTGGGGGGACATGTTCCTACCTCCCTTTGCTAGGTCCTAAACTATTCCACCTCTACTTACCCCAGACCTGAAGATTCAAGGGGAAACCCATGACAGTATTGAGGATGCCCGCACAGCCCTTCAGCTCTACCGAAAGTATCTGGAGCTAAGCAAGAATGGGACCGAGCCTGAGTCTTTCCACAAGGTGCTCAAGGGCCTTTATGAGAAGGGCCGGAAGATGGACTGGAAGGTGCCCGAACCTGATGGCCAGACAAGTCCCAAGAGTAAGGTTTGGGATGGGACAAGGGAAACCAGAATGGGTGGGTTTTGATTGCATATATGGAGATTATAACCACCATAGTAATAATGATGATGATGATGATGATAACACTACCACCCGTACCTTATGTTTGTAAAACACTTAGTAGTTTACAAAGCACTTAATGCTCCTAACATTTAGTGAAATAAGAGTTTATTATTGAAACTCTCCATTGGTAGCACCGAGGCCGTGGGTTTGGATCCTATATAGGGATGGCCAGTGTGCTCACTGCCTGAGCATTGGTGCAGACAACACTGTGCCGAGGGTTGCGATCCCCTTACCAGTCCAAAAAAAAAAAAAACTCTCCATTGGTCATATAACTTCCTCTTGCCCGATTCTAAAATGTTTGGGGAAGGTCTATGTCCACTTTTCTCTTGCACTTTTTCTTCGTAAGAAGTACTTGTACAGGAAGGTGCTTTTTCTCCCCTCGCCTTAAGAGTCATGCTCTTGGTTTTGTCTCTGACAGATGCAGCTGTCTTCTCCTCGGTGTTGGCACTCTGACCTACCCTGCCCCAAAGAACCACTACCCACTCCCTTCAGTGTTCTGTTGCTCCAGAACTGGGAGATGGCTTCCCAAGTTGGCTATACGCTGTCCACTTCCAGAATTGGACCCACTCAGGGTCTCCAGATGGTGCTATTAATAGAACTAGAATGCAGCAGAATTGTTGCAGTGATTCTAGGAGCCAGATTCTTTCTTCATCCTTTGCAGAATAGGCGGCCAGAAACAAGAGTCTAGAATTGACCCAGATGGCAAGGAATTGGTTTCTTTTTTTTTTTTTTTTTCCTTTTTGTCTTTTTTCGTGACCGGCAACGGATCGCAACCCTCAGTGTCGCGCCCATACCGGACTGGGACCGGCAATGGGATCGCAACCCTTGGTGTTGCGCCCGCACCTCGCTCAGCCAGTGAGCGGCCGGTCTGTATGTGGGATCCGAACCCTGGGCGGGAGCGCCGCCGCGCTCCCAAGCAGCGCACTGTAGCAGTGCGCCACTGGGCCGGCCCGGAATTGGTATTCTTAATAAATATCCTGGGTAGATAATGTCCAGGCAGAGAAGCTCCTAGAACCAAAACTCTCAGTTCCTAGATGACTAGGGACTGAAGTCTTGGACAGTGCCAGAAGATAGCACAGTAACTCGAGATTTAGCTCAAGTCTCCAATTGCTTGAGGGATGCCTGGAGGGACCAGCATGCGGAGTCTTGGTGGCCCAAGCAGACCAGTGTTGCCAACACCATTGCCAAAAGGGCCTTTGGGTCCTGGACAAAGCTTGGCTGCTGGCTTCATTTATTCCTGCTGACAGCTGAGAAGCATCTGTCTTCCATCCACTATCCTGTACCAAGTTTTGTTAATTTTTAAAACTTTGTTTTAAACTGCATGTTTTATAAAATAAAAGCAAAAATATTGTCTATTATCTATCTCATTAGAGAGCTGCTAGTGCGGGGTTTTCTGACTTCATTCCTCCTTTGTTTTGGCTTCCTATTACAACTGGAAAAACTACAGTTGTGTTCAAAACCCCACCTAGAAATGAAGGTAAAGCTCTGGAATCCGAAGTTATGGATATGGGAGGAGTATGGTTATGTCTTTCCTGGACAATGTTAGGTCTTTGATTTAGCTGCCTAAAACCCTAACTCAGATTGTTTGCAGACTGTATAGTATGGTTTCCCTGTTAAATTGTGTAAGCTGACAAACTACAGGTCCCAAGATACCTTAGGACGTGTATACTGACAAAAGGTTCTGTCTGGTGTTGCAGTGCTGCTTCCTGGGAGATATAGTTTCCGGTGTATTGAAACCCGGGCTTCTTCCCCGCTAGCAGCGCACCTCTGGTCTTGAAGGTCTTAGCTCACGTACACTGGCACGCACGCGCTCCCGCCGACTTCCATACAGCATGCCCGAACTCTGTCCTCGCTTCAGGCCACTCCTATTCTTCTGCTGACCCCTGGTGGTCACGTGGAACTGCTCGCCACGCAAGTCTGGGTCCTTCGGCTATCGAGCGGGGTCCTAGCTGCCTCGGAGCCGCTCCTAAGCTGCCTGTTCGCGCGAGAGGTTGCAGCGGAGGGTTTGGGGTCTGTCTCTGGTTGGGGCTCTCAGGGTAGCATACCTGAGCCCCGCTTAGGTGTCAGTTAGGGTCCGGCGAGCTGGGTTAGGTGGTCGTCGGGGCAGCCTGTGTCTGGAAAGCGCCGAAGCGCTCTGGAGAAGCCCGGACAGCCCCGCTCCCCCGCAGCTAGGTACTAGGGTCGGGAGGCACCGAGGCCAAAGTGAGAGTCCGACCGTCTTCCATCGCCTGGGCCACGGCGGCGGCCCTGGGAGCAGAGGTGGGAAAGATGCGGAAGGCGGAGGCGCCCGGCGTGAGGGTTGGGGGTGGACTGGAGCGAAAGTAATGGCGGAACCCTTAGCGGACTGCTCCGCACAGGCAGTCACTTACAGGCTGGAGATGGGGATGCAGGAATCTTCGGTGCTGGGTCCAAATAGGCCCTAGTTATTGAGTGCTCTCCTCGCCGGCGTCCTGGCCTAAGGCTCCTTGTCAGCAGCTCCCCTGTGCCTGTCGTCCTCTCGTAATCGCCAGCTTCCCGCCCATAGCTGCCGCATAGCCCTGTGAGCTCTAGGCATCCAGTACTAAAGTACCAGCAACTGGGGCCTCACCTGTCGACGTAGTTCCTGGACTAGCCCCAAGTCCTGAGCTCGCGCTCCCACCCACCGCCTGGGGGAATCAGGGCCCTCAGGCGCCGCAACAGAGTCCATTGCCTGGGAAGTAGATCCTAAGTCACACTGAAGCCTTTGAAGGCCTTGGAATGGGGGTGGGGTGGGGTGGGGCAGAAAAATATAGTCAGCACCTCACACCTGTGTTTTATTTCCACCAAAACCCAGGTGGAGCGACCCCATTACCCTAAAGATGAAAGGCTGGGGTTGGCTGGCCCTGCTTCTGGGGGCCCTGCTGGGAACTGCCTGGGCTCGGAAGAGCCAGGATCTACACTGTGGAGGTAAAGGCACAAAGAGAAGGAGAAGTGGGAGGAAGCAGAGCCTTGGGAGGGCATGAGATCCAAGGCCTGGGAAAAGGATGAATGGAAATCCCTGGGGTGATTCACTTTCTCCTCCCGCCCTACCCTCTACACTACCCCCTCCACCCCCACCCCCATTTTTTCCTCTTGCACCAGCTTGCAGGGCTCTGGTGGATGAACTAGAGTGGGAAATTGCCCAGGTGGATCCCAAGAAGACCATTCAGATGGGATCTTTCCGAATCAATCCAGATGGCAGCCAGTCAGTGGTGGAGGTAACTGTTACTCTTCTCCTGGAGAAAGTAATTAAGAAGGGCTTTGGTTTAATAGAAATGAAGAAAAAAGACCCAGAGAAGTGTCTAAAAGATTGGGCTCTGTCTCGTTTGGAGCAATCTGGGGGCTTATACCCTGCGCACATACTTCCTGGTTTCAAACTTTAATACTTTGTTTCTGCTGTAGAATTTTTTAGCAGACAGGGAGCCTTGATCAGCCCCCTTCTCTTCATCCCTAATCCACATGACTCTTGTTTTCACTATAGTACTGTGGTATACGTATGAACATTCATTCAAAAAGAATAAAAGGTCTTATCCTTGTAATTAGGAAATTTATTCTAGTTGAAAACATAAAACATACACAAAGCTGTACCTAGTGAGTAATATGTAAACGTTAAGGTTACAATGCTAGTGAAGTGCTTTTTTTTTTTTTAAAGATGACCAGTAAGGGGATCTTAACCCTTGACTTGGTGTTGTCAGCACCATGCCCACCCAGTGAGCTAACCGGCCATCCCCTATATGGGATCCAAACCCGTGGCCTTGGTGTTATCAGCACCACACTCTCCAAAGTGAGCCATAGGCCGGCCCCGTGAAGTGCTTTAATAATTGTTATCCTCAGAGCTTACACTACCTTTCTAAATGCTCTCCTACTGAGGGCAGGTATTAATCTCACTTTCATACAAAAAAAATTACCTTCATCAATAAAAACTAAGGGAATTCAAAAAAAAGAACATAGTTGATTAGGGTTAATCAAAGAAGTCTCTAAGAGCTAATGATACCTGTCTTATTAGGATTGTATGATGAGGTAAAATAAGGTCATATATTTGAAAGTACTTTGAAACTATACAAATAATCCATACTGTTTTTAATTAGGAAAGGCTTTTTAGAATAGGTTGATTGAGCTAGATTTAGAAGGAAAAGTAAGGATATAAATTACTAATGTACAGAGGTAGAAGAGAGTGACCCAAGGATGAGGATATTTCTAGGTGCCTTATGCTCGCTCAGAGGCCCACCTCACAGAGCTGCTAGAGGAGGTTTGTGACCGGATGAAGGAATATGGGGAACAGATTGACCCTTCCACCCACCGCAAGAACTACGTACGTGTAGTGGGCCGGAATGGAGAATCCAGTGAACTGGACCTACAGGGCATCCGAATTGACTCAGATATCAGCGGCACCCTCAAGTTTGCGGTGAGCTATGGGAGTGGGTAGCTGTTTCTTGGAAATTAGTGGGGTTATTGAGGGCCAAAGTAGAAGGTTGGATTGATGTCTTGGTCCTCTCTAGAGGTAGAGGCAAGAGGCCTCTTCATGCTGCCTTGTGTCACTTGTTTCTCCCTTCGGTTGGCAGTGTGAGAGCATTGTGGAGGAATACGAGGATGAACTCATTGAATTCTTTTCCCGAGAGGCCAATAATGTTAAAGACAAACTTTGTAGTAAACGAACAGGTAAGCTGCCCCCACTTTATCTCCTGTTCTCACAGCCCTGTGGAACCTGGCACATTCCCTGTCCTCCACCCACCTCCCCTTACCGGAATCCTCTGATATTAGCTCAAGAACTGGCCTCCATTTTCCTTGGCTTAGGGACTTGGGTTGTTTGTCTCTATTCTCTTTCTGTCAGCTCTCAGAATTTGTGGCTCCCTAACCTGAGATACAGGTGAGAGGGCAGTAGGGATGTTTTGTTATTTATAAGCATATGATCTGAAGGATGGTGGTTGATGTATATGCCAGTTTGGTTTTGGGTATTTTCTTGATAGTGGCATATATCAATATGAGAGTAGAATTTTCTTTCAAAGTATTATGTACTATTTGCAGATCTATGTGACCATGCCCTGCACATATCTCATGATGAACTATGAACTACTGGAGCAGCCCAGACCGGCTTGATGGATCACCCCCGGAGGGGAAGATGGTGGCAATGCCTTTTATATTATGTTTTTACTGAAATGAACTGAAAAAATATGAAACCAAAAGTACAAACTGTGTTGTCTTTTCATGCCCAGAATTGGCCCCTACATTAGGCTTGAAGGTAGGGGATTATAGACAGGAAAGAAAACAGAGGGGAAGAGTTTTGGGATTGGTGTAGCACAAAGGTAGGAGGGGCCTGAACCTTTTTTTTTTTTTTTTTTTTTTAAAGATGACCAGTAAGAGGATCTTAACCCTTGACTTGGTGTTGTCAGCACCACGCTCTCCCAAGTAAGCTACTTGGTCATCCCTATATAGGGATCCAAACCCATGGCCTTGGTGTTATCAGCACCACACTCTTCCAAGAGAGCCATGGGCCAGCCCAGCCTGAACCTTTAATTCTTTTACCTTCTGAGATTCTGCTTCAGAATAAGCATTTAGATAAGCATTTATTCAGTGACCACTTAATACAATGTGTTTAGAGTCTAACTATGGAGAAAAGAGGAACCTCTATGAAATAAGCAAGGAAACATAAGTAAGTGTATGGTAATATAGGATTCTAGAAATTCTTTGTATTCATGCTGATTAAACATCAACTAAGATGGGGCTTGGTCTTGAAGGAAATAATGGACATGCATTATTCTTCCCTCCCTGCCCTTCTAGATGGAGGGACCAACAAGAGCAGAGACAGGAAGGGGAAAATGGATGTGACCAACTCAGCTGAAAAGTAAGGGCTTTATCGGATAGGGACAGATGAGGTAAGGAATGTTATTTAATGAAAGGTCTTGCTTGCTAGCCTAAGCTTTTAAATTTGATGCCAGCAGCAACAATAAAGTATATTTTTCTCATCTCTATCACTAACCATTGTCAGTCTGGAGTAGAAGTCTGTCCCCACTTACTTTGTGTAGAGAATTGGGGCATAGGGATGAAAACCTGAAATACACTTTCTTTTGAAAATTTCTTAAACATCCTGGTTCTGAAGTGTTGCTGTTTCAGGGTTTTGAATGGTAAATCTGTCAGGAACGCCTCAAGAAGAGAACACCTGAATAAACATTTCAAAGATATTTAGACTGGGCCGGCCCGTGGCTCACTCGGTAGAGTGCGGTGCTGCTAACACCAAGGCCGCAGGTTCGGATCCTATATAGGGATGGCCGGTTTGCTCACTGGCTGAGCGTGGTGCTGACAACACCAAGCCAAGGGTTGAGATCCCCTTACCGGTCATCTTTTTAAAAAAAAAAAACAACAAAGATATTTAGACTGTAAAGAGAACTTGGAGGTCATCTAGTTCACTCTGCCCGTTCTACAGATGAAGAAACAGTCCCAGAGAAGCCACAATTCCTAAAGTTCTGTATGTAGTGGCAAAATTGGATCTAAAGCTAACTTTCTCAAGTGCCAATCAGATCTAATACAGCTGTAGAGTAGCTGCTATTTTAAGTCTTTTTTCTCTTAATAGTACTAAGCCTGGCACATAGAATGAATGTATTCAACAAAGTTTTCTTATGCCACAAATGTCTATGAAATCTAACATATTAACTCAGAGCAAGCACTGTGATATTAGTTGTCAGCTAAACTCAATTCCATCTTCTCTCATCAGCCATGAGAAATGCTGTATCCTGTCAAATCAGTTTTCCAAACCAGCTGTTATAAATTTTTTTTCCCTCTGATGCCCAAATAATGTCACATTCTTCATACCCCTGAAAGTATACCCAGGGTCCTGTCCATTGCCTGCTTTCTGTCTAAAAACAACTTTCCCTTACAACAGAAAACTTACCAGAAGTATAAATGAGAGTATTCTTACAGTAAATTTGAAACTGTTTTAATTTACAAAAAATTATTACAAATTATTCGCAAGTTCTATATATATATATATATTTTTTTTTTTTTGAGGCTGGCCATTATGGGGATCCAAATGCTTTGAACTTCGGTGTTATAATCACCAAGCTCTAACCAACTGTGCCAACTGGCCAGCCACTCCCAAGTTTTAATAAATGAAATAAACTTAATGTTTTTTTTTTTTAAAAGATGACCGGTAAGGGGATCTTAACCCTTGACTTGGTGTTGTCAGCACCACGCTCACCCAGTGAGCCAACCGGCCATCCCTATGTGGGATCCGAACCCTTGGCCTTAGGTGTTATCAGCACCGCATTCTCCCGAGTGAGCCACAGGGCCGGCCCAACCTTAATGTTAATTAGTAACAAGTTTCTTGTCATGCATCTCACTGGTTTGTCAGGTACACCTGTTAACTCTCCAGCCCAAGAGTTTTTGCCATTGGTACACAGGGATGTGTCCTACATAGGAAAGAGTACAAGTTATTCTCTTGACTTGATCCTCAGGAGGTTAGGAAGATACACTTTGCACATCTCTTAATTCAAACCACAAGGAATCCATGAATTTATCTGAACTCTTCTGGAAGCTCACTATAACAAATTATTCTAGCCCAGTATTTGGTAGGGCATGTGCTCTTAACTATGCAAATCTGGTTACTCTTTAAGCTTTAGACACCTTCTAAATTAGTTTATAAGTTAAATGTCAGAACTTAAACATTTCCAAAGACAATATTAAGTGAGGTCTAGGCCTAACTAGGAAAATTCATTATGTGAAAATCTAGTCTTTAGAGGATTTTTTGCTGTTAAGGATTCAGGGGCTGGCCAGTTAGCTCACTTGGGAGAGCATGGTGCTGATAATACCAAGGTCAAGGGTTTGGATCCCCATACCAGCCAGCTGCAAAAAAAAAAAAAAAAAAGGATTCACAGTAGGGACAAGATTACTTTAAATATAGGACACGGATGAATAGAAAGGGAAAGGGAACTAATATATGTTGAATACTCATATAACAAGCACATACATGTTATCATTTACAACTCTAAGAAGTAGATGTTATTCCTATTTTACAGGTGAAGAAACTGAGCTAAGAGAAGTGTCTTATTAGTCAGCCAAGTGCCAAGACCTCAACCCCAGTGATCATCTTATCCCTAGACCAGTGGTCTTTCTGCTATACCTCACTCCATGTAGTGGAGTCTCCATGTAGTCTCTGGTGGTTGTGTAAAGTAGAACTTTTAATATTTGTTTGAAAAAATACCTCCAAGTTTGAATGCATGCCCTCTGATTCTAGTAATCTAGTAGAAAAGCATTATATCCTCTGTTCAGCCATTTTCCCAGACTAATTATTCCTTGTAAGAAGCCCATTTTACCCCTCTGGTCATTTTAGGTTGTCTCTCCTACCTTTTTGTATTTGGGGGGTGGGGGCCAGTCACCTTTTATCATCTATTTCATGTATGGGTGTACAAAAGTTTTACAGATGAGAAAGACTATAATTCCTATCTTTTAAAATATCTTTAAATATAGCAACCCAGCCAGCTGATGCCCCCAGGAGAGTTAACTCAAAAATTCCCTTACTGAGTTGCAGCTGATACTTCACAGTTAATCATCATATAAAAGGTACAGCTTAGTAATTAAGATAGAGGCTCTGGAATGAGGCCAACCTGGGTCTGAATTCTAGCTATGCCAATTACAAGCTATGACCCTGGGCAGGATACTTCATCTAAGCCTTGGTTTCCTCCTCTTTACAGATAACTAATATTACCTACATATCTTAGAGTTGTTGTGAGGATTAATTAAGATAATGCATGTACCACATTTAGATGATATCTGGAAATGGTAAGTACTCAATAAATATTAGTTATTACCTATTAAATACAGAAGTTTAGTTTACCCATGTAGACAGTTTACCAGGGTTTAATTTTAGGCTGCGTGCTCCTACTTGTCCTTGGCCACCAGGGGGCACCATTGTCCCTGTCTGTTTTAAAGAGGTCCTCCCAAGGTCATGATGACCTCAATGCCTTCTTTCCTTTGCTCCAGGCATTTAGTTGTATTTGCACCTAGAGCTCACTTGGCTGCTTTATTCATGCCAATCCTTCTCCTTTAACTTTCTCTTTTCCTCCCCAAGTCCCATCCATGTTCAGAAAGAGACTAAGCCAGCTCCTGGGAGATTTCATTTAACGCCTTTGATCATCCCTAGGCTTTCCCATTAGGCTAATAACAGTGGGTGTCAGCATTGGACAACTTTGAAACAAGTCCATAAAGTCCTCATGATACTAAGCTCCAGGACCCTATGTCAAGGGGCATAGAGCATTGCTGTTCCCTACACTCCCTCTAATCACTAAAGCTCCAAAATAGGTTACTTTATGGCCACTCAGTAATTGTCCCTTTGGTAGCCTCACCCTGAGAATGCCTCTAGTCCTCTTGTCTGCTGGCTAGTCTCTGTGGATTATTAACCAGAGGAAAGGAGCCAGGTCACACTATTCTAGGTTATGAGGAAATCCTCTCTGAGATGCTAAATTGGGAGCAAATATTGATCAGTGTGGAGCTTTGAAATCACCAGGGAGGTAGCTGGGGTCACTGCTCCTCTGGGACATTGTGTAGTTTCTCTTTATGATGTTCTTCCTAAGACCTACCTATTTGATCCCCAAGCCAGAGAAGCTTTGGTTGTTCCATGTGAAGCTGGGTATGAGGAAATTTTGGAAGAGAATATAGGAGTTTTTTTCCCCTTTTTCCAAATCCAAGCTATAAACTGAGTTTTTTATAAATGAGATCTATCTAAACTTGGCTTAGATGAGTACTAAGACCTCTGAACCTTGTTACTGCTATGTGGAGAGATAAAAAGGACCGTTCACTTAGAGCTTAGGGTTTGTAGATAAAGTGCCCTGGTCCTTGGGCCAGTTCCCCTCTGTGCTTGGGTTAACGGCCATGACAGGCTTAGGGAGATACAAAGGTCCTGAGGTCTTGTCTACCCAGAGGAGTCAGAGAGTGGTGTGGAAGATCTCTTTAGTGCCATGGGTCATTGAATGGTCTCTATGGAGCACAGAGTATGAGAGTACAGAAGATAGCCAAGTAGGGCCGGCCCGTGGCTCCCTTGGAAGAGTGTGGTGATGATGACATCAAGGCCACGGGTTTGGATCCCTGTATAGGGATGGCGGGTTAGCTCATCAGGTGAGTGTGGTGCTGACAGCACCAAGTCAAGGGTTAAGATCCCCTTACCGGTCATCTTTAAAAAAAAAAAAGAAGAAGAAGAAGAAGCCAAGTAGGAGAGATAGCCCAGAGGCCCTATGGGAGTGATGTAACAAAAAGGGAGGGTGCTTGATCTTGGAACAGGGCGTTGGCCTGCAGCTCCTGATCTTGTGGCTAAATGTGGGGTGGGTTGGCTATACCAGATTGTATGACTGGAGTGGGAATGAGACTAATGTCCAGGACCCAGAGGCTCTGGCCTGCTCTGGAAGCCTTCATTGTAAGGGGGCTTTTGTAAGACAGATTTCCTGGCATTGAACACAAAACTGACAGCTCACAAAGGACACTGGATATTCAGGTTCCTCCTTTTGCTCTTCTCCACACATTGGGATCTGTTAGTATCTATAATACCATGACCTCTGCTGACCTCAAATTATCTCTACCAAGCAGCTAGCTCTGGCATCACAGCCTTGTCCACGTGTTTCACTTCCACGCCATGAAGTCAGTAAGCAAAGACATTTTTCGAGAAAATATGCCAAGGGGGTGGGAGGAGGGGGCAATAATGAGTTGATAAGATAGTATATTAAGGAGCTGGCTCCCTAGGACCTTCAAAGGTCGAGTCCTAGAGCATCTTTTTTTTAGTATTCACCTCACAACTAACTCCAAATGTGTTAAGAGTAAAGGGACAAGCCGAAGAAGGAAGTTAACTGAGTTCTCAGGCACATACTTAGCCACCTACACTCCCCCCACCCTTCATTAGCCTAATCCGGGCGGTCCAATCCTCCCCGCCACAACTGCTGTCAACGTCTCAGGTCCCGCCCCACTCCATGCTGGGCCAATGGCCGAGCTCGGGCCGAGTTCCCTGAGAGGGGCGGGATCGGATTCCGGACAGTGGGCGGGGCCTCGCTGAGGACCCCGGGCTGGGCGCTGCCGCTGGTTCGCCTATCCCTTTCCTCAGCCGCCTCCTTTCAACCTTGTAAGCCTGTCGGCGCGGCCTCTGCTGCAGCGGCGGCGGCTCCCGTTCCCGCCGCAGCTCTGTCCCCTTTCTCCCTTCCCACCAGTTCCCGGAGTTCGCCCGCCATGGCTTTACTCACTGCGGCCGCCCGGCTCTTGGGAACTAAGGTGAGCAGCTAGGAGAGGGAGCACGCCGTCCTAGAGTGGGGCTGAGGCGACCGCAGGCCCTCAAGCACTGGGGTCTCCTTCCCACACCCGTGCTCACCCCTGCGCGCCTTAAAGGGGCCCTGCGCTTGGCTGGCCTCCACCTCTGCGTGGAGCTCCCGAGGCCATGTGCTACGCTATCCTTCCGTCTCCTGGGGGGTAGGATGAATGCTGCCCGCCCCTGGCCTGCAGTCTCGGGTGGATGGGGAGGCCCGACCATACTGTCACCTTGCATGCCTGAGGTGGAAGGGAGGAATGCGTGACTCTGGAAAAAGGATTTAAAACAGTACCCGCCAGTAGAAAACATATGTGTAGTATTTTACTGAGTTAGAGAACGAGTCTTTTGGGAGCAGGGGGCTGGGGTGAACAGATGTGCTCACTGTCTGGGCCAGAGCTGGAGCTGAGGGTAATTTCGGCTTCTGTTTTGTAGGGAGGGCCTTGACAGTTCCTGAACTGCCTGTTTCTATTTCTCCAACCCAATTATTTAAGCCCATTATTTAATGACCACGCCGTAGCAGTTTCTGCTAGAGGAGTGGGACCCTCAGGTCCTCTTTGTCCTTGGGACTCTTGCACTTAACTCTTTATATAGGAAAAGCTTGGGTGGGGTGGAGCACTTCTTTAAAACCTCTTGCCTGGTTATCTCGTATAATTGAAGAACCAGAAAGGTTGTTCCACTAAACCGCAGGCCAATAAATGAATATATACTCGGCAAGAGATAGTAATGCCAGAGTCACATGATCAGCCCTACTACTTGCTTGTCCAGGTTTTGCTGTTGATCTTAAGTCTGCTTTACCCAGGAACTTCCTCTCATTCTTTGGGACCCTTTACTTGACGTTTGTTGCCTTTTGGATCATAGAAGTACTGTTGCAGGGGCCGGCCCGTGGCTCACTCGGTAGAGTGCGGTGCTGATAACACCAAGGCCCCGGGTTCGGATCCCACATAGGGATGGCCGGTTCGCTCACTGGCTGAGCGTGGTGCTGACAACACCAAGTCAAGGGTTAAGATCCCCTTACCGGTCATCTTTTTAAAAAAAAAAAAAAAGAAGAAGTACTGTTGCAGGTAATTTCAAATTGTCAGTGCTATTGGCTCTAGATAACTTGGCCCTTTAAGCAGAAAAACCGCTGTGCTGAGGGAGTCCCAGCCCTCTAATCCAAGCAGGGACAGACCCACAAGTGACCTTGACTTCTGCAAGGAACTTATACTTTCTCTTCTGCAGACAGTTTAAAGCTGCCAGCACCTGAAGGAAAGGAAAACCTTAGAATGGTTTTGGCTTTCTCTGTGTTGTCTTGCATGGTTGGTAGAGAGTGAAACCTGTAGGAAGAACGGTGGAGTTCTTCCAGGCACCCAACAGCAAGGTAGAGGCTGATCATTTGGGAGATACTTGTCTTACTTGGCTGTTGCTTCTCCTGCTGCCAGGGAACAGGGTAAGGAAACCTCTTGGGAAATGAAGCAAGTTCTAGATAGTGTTTTGGCAAAATAGGGGATGCTATAATTAGCTCATTCCAGAGCTGCTAACCCAGACCAGATAGTCTAACTCTATAGTGAATTTGAAAAAGCCTTTGGATTTACCTTTTTAATTTATTTTGTCCCTTAAGTCCCTAGGGAAGTTTAGAACGCTTTGGGGATGACAGGGCTACATGATCGTGGTATCATTACTGCTTACTTAACTGATGGAGATGGACCTTAGGGTCCTAGAAACCTATAAATTGGAAGCCATTAGGCTCTTGGACCCTTAAAACTAGCAAAGCCTAACAAACTCAGGAGTGGAAATTTCCTGAAAAAGAAACAGTATGACTATTATACCAAGAAAGCATTGTGAGCACCTGCCTGAGCTTTCTAGAGTAGTCTGTGGCTAATCGTAGACATAAATTGGTAATAGATTTTACTTTTGCTATTAAGGTAGGCTTTAGAAAGCAAAGTAGTCTTCTGCTGTTGGAGAACTGACTCCTACCACTTTGATTCTCAAGGTCAGACGTAATTTCACTTTTCTGAGAAGATATTTTTATTTTAATCTTGCTATGAGACAAAAATGCTAGTTAGTCATCATTCTATTGTTCTACTCTATCCACTGACAGGTAATTTAAATGAACACCTGAGTTGGAGAGAGATACTAATTCAGACACTTGAGATTATTTGACTTCTTGTTTATCCAAATGAATTAAGGCTAAGCAATGACCTCAGTATTAGTTATCGGTGTCTCAGCTTAGTGACATAAAAAATGTCTTTTCACAAATGATCCGGGTTTGGATTTGGGCTGGGAATTGAAGTACGGCCACCAGTTCACTTCTGGACTCTTGAAGTCAACATGCTTAACCAACCTAGGTTAAAGAGTTATTTCTTGTATTACTGAGAATTGCTCCTCCAAGCTGGGGTGTTTGAAACTTTGAGTAAATCAACCCAAAGGTGTTTCTAGATTATTTCTAGACTTTTTCAAGACACTTAAATGAATACCAGTGGTTCCTTTACAGCAGATGTACCCCTGTGCAATGTCTCCTATATAAATCCTAGTGTGAAATTGGGTTCAACAAAACCTAGTTGGTTTTGTCCTGTGAACTGTTTAGTTAGGCTTAAAGCCCAAACTTTTAAAAACAGGGGCTGAAATATCTGTGCCTTCACTTTGACTATCAATCTACCCAAATAATGCGATTCTTTGACACTTACTAGATGGACCAAAAATGGAAAGAAAAAGCCTCATTGGGTACTAGCAGTGGGATGATTGCATTTGCTCTTCCTCCTGGCCTTTAGACTGGTAGCAGGTGAATGAATGCATGGACATGGCAAGGCAGTGAGGACAGTATGGTGGGCAGCGGTGAAGCAATCAGAGAAGGGAGGGCTGGCATTCCTAGTGCTTAGAATCCAAGGGGGCAGCAGATAGAAACCACACTTGGTGGATCTCACTAAAGTCACACAGTAATCCCTTCTGCCTGGTGTCAATGTTTTATGCAATAGAGTTGAGTAGGATGTGAAATTTAAAACAGTAGTAAGACAACTTCAGCAATAAATCTTTTTCAGCACCTTTCAGTTCTTCCCTCAACTTTCCAAATTCCTTAGGTCCCTGTATTTCTTTTTCCATTTAGAAAGGTCTGCAAGCCTGTAGTGGGCATCATCACCTGGAATGCTTGTTCACATTGTAGATTCCTGGATCCTGCTTTCAGATTATAATTCAGCAGAGGTGGGATGGGATCTGGAAACTTGTATTTTTTCAAGCACCTCAGTTGACTGACTATGCTTGGTGGACCTAGGACCACACTGTTAGGCCAGTGAAACCACATGTAAGCCTTTTTGTTTGCACCTTTATTGTGTGTATTATAGGAAACTTGGAGTGCATGGGCATGTTTTTGGATTAGTGATTATTTTAAACATTGCCTTCAAAGTGTTAGTGTACTTGAGGCTGTTTTCTCTAGGTTTTTCTACCTAGGTGTTTTTTCAAATTGCCTTTGAAAAAGTTTCTTGTAAATCCTTGTAGCAAAGTGTTATGAGCTAAAACTTGTAAGAATTCCTAGCAGAAGTAAGGGAATAATTTTTAATTCCTTAGAAAGTATTAAGGTGACAGATCTTTTATGCTTTATTCACTAATGTACACTTAGTGTACACATAATAAGTAGGTGTTCAATAAAGTAAGGATTTCTACTGAAAGGAAAATTTAGGACTCTTGATTCTTTTCTGAGGCTGGAATGGTTTATTTTGCAGTCTTCCTCACTGAATGATCAGTGAACCTTTAGGCAAGAGACTGTTGGAAAATGACAGGTAGAAGTCTTAAGGGAACTCCTGTGAGTACGAAGGGTGTCAAAGTACGAAATCTGAAGATTACTCTGTTTAGGCTATTAAGTGGCCTGACCCAGTAGTGCAGGCTGACTTCCAGTATCACCATTGTGAAACACAGACATTAAATGGCTTTCGTTCTCTGACCTGGTTCTGGGGAGAGAGGAGCCTTTGTCCTATGCATATTCCTTTTCTCTGAATGCAAGTTATTCCTTCTGCACTGGAAGCCTCTGTACCTCAAGGTTTTTCCTATCAGTTAGTTATTCGTGCATTATGTTTGCTCCATCAGTTAAGCCAGTTCTGCTGGCTTTGCAAACTCTTGATCTTTTGACGATGAAGGACAAGAGCCCTACTAAAATCAGAAGCAACTCTGTCAAGGTTTTAATGTTCCAGCTCCTGTATATGTGTTAGGATAGAGTCTGGATGTGCCTAGAATGAAGAATCAAAGAAAATTTGCCTACTTCTCTGCAGAGTAAGGGTCCTAAACGTGGACCAGGGATGATGATTGGCTAAGAGGAGTAAGAGGGAAATAACCACATTGTTGAGTAAGGAGTTATCCAAATAGCATTCTGTTGTTCACAGAATTTGGAGATAAAGGCAGTAGTTAATTGATACTTGGTAAGTGATTTGGCCAATACTCTATTCCAGGAATGCCCTAAGTATTATAGGCAAGTCTTTGGCAAGATTTCTTGTATGTCCTTTTCCTTTCTTGCCTTTTAAGATAGGGTTTTAAAATTTTTAAAATATTTTTCCATCCTAGCACATTTGAAAGCTATAGCCCACTTCTGTCAATGATAGTGAACTCACTAGAGGAGTTCTTACAAGGGGCGGTAGCATTTGAGGTTTGAAAAAGCCTCTTAGTGATTGTGATACTCCCACCCTGACCCTGTAGAATCCTGGCTGTCAGATGTTGTAAGTCAGGCCCTTGTCTTGGGAAGCAGCTCTCTCCATCTCTCCCCATGAAGGAGCTGACCTATTGAATGAGATGACTGCCTGATTCACCTGATAGCTGCTGTTCCAGTAGGGTGACTACACGAGGCATGCAACCAGAAAGAAGCCAAAAGCCCAGCTGCCACACCTCCAGGGTTGGGGGAGGAGCTGGGAGGTAAAAGTTCAAGGATGACTCAGGTTTGTGATCTGCTTGTCTCAGTGAGTGTAACCTGAATGTACTATACAAAGTCATTCATCAGCTTTCTTTGGCA